GGTCTGAACCATATGTCCGTGTCCTACACATATTTTTAACTAACATAGGTTTGATCTAAAATAATAACCTACATCTATAAATCCATAAAACCGCACCGGTACTTCTGGACTCCAGCAGGTGAGTCTCGTTAGCATGACTGCAGCAACACTGCTAACCGTGTTAGCTCTGGTGTTACACCAAATTCTGCGACCATCACAATTTGGGACCCCAGGGGGCAGTGTTGTGTTTTGTTGCGTCTATACATGCTGAATTGGCATAAAAGAAGAAGATGCTGCATTCAAACCGTAAACTACGTAAGCTTTGAGGAAGTTGTGCGGCGCGGACCATGGTCACACAATATGATAGTGGCTATCACAGAATGTGGCCATCTGCATCTCAGTAATAATGCAGATGTCAGAGGTCAAATGCACTTTTTTTATAAACTACATCATCAGAGAAGTTAGCGGAAACAGTTTCTGTGATGTAAAAGTCATTATAACTGAAGTTATAGTAAGGTCACACAATATCATAGTGTCATGGTCTGTGTCTGCGTCTCCCCTCATGTGTCTCCTTTTGTCCTCCATTCGTCTCTAGGTGCTCCTTTTGTGTCTTCTAGCGCCCTCATGTGTCATGTCTGCGTCTTCCTCATGTGTTTCCTGGTGTTCCCCATTTGCCCTCTAGCTTTCCCTCCTCAGACATCCCTCTCCAGGTCCTGTGCTCTCTTGGCCCCCTCTTAGCCACGCCCCTGTTATTTCTTTCTATAGTGTTTTCCTTTAGTGTCAGCTTCCCCTTAGAATATTAGTTATAGTTCATGCCTTCTGGTCTTTTGTTTTTCTCTTAGGTCATTTTCCTTTTTTACAGCCTTTCATTATTTAGTGTGTTTTTTTCCCACCAGTGTTTTCTTCCTCCTCCCTGATTTAGTGATTGTGTTCACCTGGTCCCTCTACCCACACACCTGCAATTCATCTCCCTCTCATCTTCCAAGTCTATAAAAACCCTGTCTTGTCTCTGTGTTGTTGTCGGTCCATTGTATTTTTGTCAGCGTTGTTTCGTGCTCTATGTGAGCTTTATGTCTCCAGACTTTGGTGCTCTAAGAGAGCTTTAGGCGTCCTGTGTTCCAGGACTTTTGGTTCCTGACTTTGGTGCTCTAAGTGAGCTTTAGGCATCCTGTGTTCCAGGACTTTTGGATTTTGGCTCGCTGCCTTAATTGTGGATTTATTTTGTTTCATCCTGCCAAATAAAAGGATTTTTACTTTTTACCAACTCCTGCCTCTTGTCGTCTGGGTAATCTGCATTTTGGGTCCTAACCTTCCCCTCAACGTGACAGATAGTGGCTATCACAGAATGTGGCCATCTGAATCTCAGTAATAATGCAGATGTCTTTAATTTTCACTAAAGATAATAACAACAAAAGATGTTTCGTGATGTTTGTGTCATTTTATTTCCCTTTCATCTCCACCAGGTCATTGCTGCATTTGTTTGCAATAAACATTAACAAACGCTCTTTTTAATATCCATGGTCCACGCTGCACAACTTTCTCAAAGCTTACGTAGTTCACGGTTTCAAAGAAGCATCTTCTTCTTTTATGCCAATTCAGGATGTACAGACACAACAAAATGCAACGCTGCCCCCTGGGGTCACAAATTGTGATGGGTCGCAGAATTTGGTGTAACACCTGTAAAGAACAAGTAACTTGTGAAAGCTACGACACACACACACACACACACACACAATCTAAAAGATGATTCCCATTTTTCAACAATAGATCCTCCTATAGGACCGGTAGAACCTCCACGTCATCCTGGATTAGAAAACAACGATCTGAGCTAGCGAGTTGGCATCAGGAAGATTTATTCTGGTAAGCAATCGGTTAAATATTTTCTGATGTTACATCAATAAATACACCCAGCGGTAAAGCTGGCAACACGTTATTTTACTCATCTGTAGATTACTGAATTATATTGGGACAACATGATGGAGCTAACCAGCTGAGAACTTAACTGAAAGCCACCGGTGGAGCACAGACATGAAATATTTAACAAACTTTAACAAACTGTACCGATTTTGGTTCCAAAGACGAACAGAATCCTCCCCGGTGTCCTAATCAGCCCGCAGGGTTTCTGAGTGAAATGGTCCAAAGCATGTCTGCACCTCCGGTTCTGATATCCAGCTAGCGGGGCACGGAGTTGGGTTGAACGTCTCCGGTAATCCAATATCCGTTCTTGTTGTCGTATCCCAGAAAAAAAAAAACAAATCTGACCAACAAGCATAGGCTTCACAAGCTACATCTGACTGATGACACATTGCTCTCTGCTATAACGCTAACACAGAAACAGCAGAGTCAGGCGTTGTTTACTATCGCTGTTTCAGCAGAGCGCCTTGTGAAACGTCACCAGCTGCCCAGGGCTTAGACCGGAAGTTAGTTTCTGTTTTTCCCGCGCCAGCCACAAACATCAGATTTTCTTCAAATTCCACCTGTGAAAATCCAAAAACCTTTTTCATCTGAGGTTTTAATACTTCTTTACACATGCCGTTCAAAGAAGTTGTGCCTCTGGCCAGTATCTTTAACAATAGATAAAGAGTTTCTGCTGCTTTTTTTTTTTTGTCTAGGAGACAATTAAGATATTTAGTTAAAGGTGTGGAACTCTGAAAAAACATTTTTTTATGATTATTTCTGATTATAATTGGTCACTCTGAGTTTTTAATGCTGGCTGGACATCAAACTGTCTCCTACAGCTATCTCCTACATTAACTTCAGATAGAAAATAGATGGTGAAACTAGAAATTCCTGACCGATCTACGTCACACGTCACTTAACATTCATGGACCCATCCATCTTCATTCACAACAGGGAAGGCTGCTGCTGGTTTAGCGTCCAGGAAACAGCAGAGAACGTCTCAGCTAGCAGAAGCTAAACATTAGCATTAGCAACTCCACCACACAGCAGAACTCCTTCAGGCTTGCGTGATTTGTGGAGATAAAACATTAGCAGTCAGTGTTAGAGTTGGAATACTGTTACCCAATCAGAGAGGAGATGTCCAAATATCAGGTAATAAGACTCAACTCTGATCTGCTAGTTCCTGAAACTGCTGCACCAGGGGCTTTTATGCCCCGGAGAACAACTTCCTACCAGAGACCACTGCAGATGGACTTTTAAAGGTGCAGTAAAAGTTCTTGGAAAAAATCTTTGAATCAGCTACAGTTAGATTTAAAGGTCTGCACCGCTCTCTTCAGGCTCCTCCCAAGAGACAAAGAGTGTGATAGCTATAGAAAATGGTAAAACACCGGCTTGTGACACCAACACGCGTTAGCATTACACACAACGGTTTCCCCTAAAGAACAGAGCTCGATTCCAAGCAGAAAGTGTGAAACAACAAAATCTGTCAACAGAACGGGACATTCCACCTAGCTTAGCTAGCTCTGCTTCGTGTTTTTCTGCTCCGAGCCTAGAACGCACAATTCATGCACAGAGGTGTGTGTGTGTGTGTGTGTGTGTGGGGGGGGGGGGGGGGGGGGGGTCAGTGTGAGGGATGGATAATGATCCAGTTATTGTTAACGGCACGTTCTAAGATTGTATGTTGAAGATTAAGTTAAAATATTAATAATTTTTGACAAAACATTTAATTTATTGTTTCCATCAGAATCGGAAGAACATTTTAAAGCACTACAGCAAAAAATGTTACAGAAAAGCACCTCGGGAAAATATTTGATCATTTTATCTAATTTGACCGTAAATTTTACCATAATGCTTGGTGAATTATTCTCACATGCTGGCATAAATGTTCCTGCTTCACAACATTTAAATGTGTCAGATTAGAAGGACTTGAGTGTTGTGGATGTAGATTTTTTACAGTGAGTGCTAATGGTCTGTCTGGGAAACCGGCCCTTTGTGTTTGCAGCTGGCATTAATCTGCCTGTTGGAGTGGAGAGAACATGAGACAAACTCAGCTGAAATAAGACAACCAACTAAAATCGGCCATGATCTCTTTGTAGTGAAGGTGCTTTTTGATGCTTTTAGTGCTTTTGGTTATGGGCTCCCCTGGTTTTGTCCCAGTCCCACACTTTGCAGCGATATTCTGAACAGTAACTCCACCCAAACACAAAACACTCTCAAGCAGCTCATTTTACTAATTGAACCGTCAGATCATTATCAAAGGACTATTTACCTCAGTGCAATATTTTAATTAGATTATGGTCTCTATTTAACCCATCATGGGCTCTTTGAAGCTCTGTGTTTTTAGTGTTAAGTCCTCAGATGTGCAGAAGGAAACAAATGGCCAAGCCCTTTTTAATTAAATGAGAATCACTGCCGATCCAGACTGGGTCTCTTTGCATGTCTTTTCCCTCCCACCTACTAATTTTTTTGCCATTGAAATCCTGTTAGTTGAAGGAGTCTTTCAGCGCTCTACATGAAGGAGGCCAAATTAGCATTCCTTTCTGTCCATTGGTAAGCTGAAGCAGACTGAATGCTTTGATGTGAGAAGCACGCTTTCAGTTGGCAGCAGCCTTCCTGAAAATGAGCTGATGGCCCTACTATTAGGTCCAAATGCAGATGCGTCCATGTGTTGCAAAACACTTAATCTTTTAATTGATCACCTCCTGCGCAGATGATTCTTTGTGTTTTTTTCCCCACTGCGTGTTAATCAGAATCACATTTTGAAGATGACATGAAATGCTTTTCAAGAGGTGGGACAGGATGGCGCACGCAGCATGAAGAACACCAGATTTATGTTATCATGCTAATCCTGAAACGGACACTCAGGAGAGCTGCTGCTGGGAGATGGAAAACTGGAATCACTGGTGTCAGAGTCCCTCACCTGTCTGGAAAAGACGTCCAAGATGAGACAAAACTGTTTCATCCGAGAGCTGAATTTATTTTACAAACATCAAATAAAAAACACATTGAATAAAATAATAGCTGTAACGTTAAGAGCAAATTAAAAATGTGTAAAAATAATATAATGGAAATTATATATATATATATATATATATATATATATATATATATATATATATATATATATATATATGATGACAATCGAAATTTTAAATGACAAAAAATTCTCATTTAAAGAATTTATTGGTTTAATTTCTGAACTTTAAGTTTTAGTTTTGTTTTTGAGAGGGCAGGTATCAATGACCTTATTTGTATTTTTAACAAATAAAAATGTTATCAGTCTAATCTCCCTGCTGAGGGACAATAAATATTCTATTTTATTCCATTCTATTCAGATAAAATAGGATGAGTAATAAAATCGTAAAATCCACTAAAATCTCTTATTTAAAAATGTCATCGGGGCATTTTTGCTTCAGAATATTTCACCGGAATTAAATTCAGATCATCAAAGTGCACCAGGAAGCCTTCAGCTGTTCTGTGAGTGGTCAAACCACCAGGTGTAAATGTGCTGAGAAAAGCCTTCTCTGGTGTGTAGATACCCCACAATGCATCGGGCCAAGGAGAAGACAAGAGGTCCAACTCCAGTCCAGCACCAGGGAGTCACAGAAAGCAAGGAGACAGGGAGACCTGCAGAGGGCTCGATCCAGAGCGCAGAAATCAAAACCAATAGGTCCGGCTGCGCACGCGTCTCACAACTCATCAGCTGATTTACAGATTACATTTTTTTTCTCAAAAATTAATACATTAAAGGACACATGACTGCAGACACACGCGCGCGAGCAGCGTCAGTTGGTGTCTCATCTACAGGACAAACACGGCAAACATGGAAAAGAAAATTCATGTTTTAAGTTTTTTTTCCTTCTTTTCGTTAAGTGCAAATGGGCGGTGTTACAAAGAGCTCCGTGTTATTTACAGAAATTTATACAAGTACATAGACGCGACGGAAGGCAGTGACAGCATAATAATAATAATAATAATAATAATAATAATAATAATAATAATAATAATAATAATAATAATAATAGTTCTCTGGGGGAACTATCTGCAGTTCGGTGGAAGCCACTTATAGCGGACTATAGTAGATGATCCGGCGAACAGACGTCGTCCTCCACGTCTACGTCGTCCTCGTTGTCTTCCAGCATGTATGAGTCCGGTTCCGGTTCCAGGTTCTGTCTCAGCTCCTCCGCGCTCCGCTCGTTCAGCTCTCCCTCGCTGGAGTTCTCCGCGCACCGCTCCAGGTCTGCAGGAGTCTTCCGGTCGTCCTGCGCCTTCCTCAGCTGCTTCTTGTGCTTCATCCGTCGGTTCTGAAACCAGGTCTTCACCTGGGGGGCAGGAAAGATCCGGTCGTCAGTGAGCCCACTAAACAGAACCGACACCAGGTCAGCGTTTGGGTCCAAATTCAAGAGGATTCGGTTCTCATTTTGTACTCTGGAGCCAATTAATCATTCTTTTATAGAAAATAAATAAAATAGAAAATGTAAATTAGATTAATATTGAAATGGAAGAATAGTCAGACCAACGGCAGCACTGCGCTCAAAATATCCTCTAAGGTTTTTTTCAAATAAAATAAAATTCAAATAGACAAAATAAAATCAAAACAAACGTGTCTAATCTGTTCTTTACACACACACAAAGGTATTGGGGGAGGCTGAACATCTAGATAATTACTTGAGTTAATCTTTTGTTTTCTGGTTTTTGGCTTAATAAAAATTATTGAATAAATGAACCAAAACTAGGAAAAACAAGATAAAACAATTTAAAATAAATTAAACAAATTAAATAAATAAATAAATAAAATTAAACAAACAAAATAAATTGCATTAAATAAAATCAATCAAAAGAAAAACAGAATAGATCAAATCTTCATTAAACAAATACAAATTGTTGACGAAACAAACTCTTATGAAAAATACAAGATAAATAAATTAGTAACAAAGAAAATTCAAATAAAGTAAATTAAAAAATAAAGTAAAAACTACCACTAGATATCTGACGCCATCACTCTTTGGTGCATGTGTGTGCGCGCGCACCTGGGTCTCGGAGAGGCTGAGCGCCGTAGCCAGCTCCACGCGCTCTGGTGTCGACAGGTACCGTTGGATCTCGAAGCGCTTCTCCAGGCCGGACAGCTGAGAGTCGGAGAAGACCGTGCGGGCCTTCCGCCGCCGGCAGTGTTTCCCCGGTAGGTCGGTGTGGTGCTGGAACAGGGCCGGTATCTGCATCCCTGAGGGGCAATAAAGGTTTTACAGAATCCTGGAGCTGCGGTACCACAAAGGTTCTGCTGGGTCTGGACCCATTAAAGACTGAAATTACCGCCGATCCGGATTAACTCAAACTTTGGACAAAATTTACAATTATGAGAGGGGTTGAGTTTAGCTGGACTGGGTGTTTTATTTAATTTTATTCTTTATTAAGTTTTACCTAATTAAAATTTACTTTGTCTTATTTTGTTTGACTTTATTTTATTTGACTTTATTTCTTTGACTTTATTTAATGCAGACCGCAGGTCGGAGACCTTACCGGAGGTGAAGAAGTACTGCTGATGCTCCGGCTTGTGGAGCGCGTGCGGATGCGGAGCTAGGATCGGCGTGGGCATCAGAGGGTATCCGTACTCCAGGATGGGCATCCGGGACGCCAGGGACCCGCAGAACGGGCCCGGGATGACCTCCCGCAGCGGTTTGGGTTTGTGCAACAAGATGTCCTCAATAAAAAACGACGTGGACCTCTGAGGCGGCGCCGCGGACGCGTAGTTCAGACTCATGGTGGCGGCTTGGGTCCGGTTCTGCCGGGACTCAGACCTGCATCAGCACCGGTCCCGTCTGCAGCCTGAAACGGTCCCTGAGTGTGATTGGTGGGGTTGGATGGGGGAGGGGGAGGGGGGCTTTTAGGTATTTATGCGGCAGCTGATGCGGATTGGGGGGGACTGATTTACGCATCAGCCAATTAGGGATGTGTATGAGCAGGAGGGCCACGCGAGGGCCTAGTTCTGGGTTTCCATTGGCCCGGACGGGTTCTGAGCTGCAAAAGTGGACTCTTGGGAGAGCTGCAGCACCTGAGAGTGACTGATAGGTGAGAACTGGACCGAGGTTTTCAAAGTTCTACAAGCTGGACCCATTTGCAAAATAAACAAACAAACAAATAAATAAATACATACATACATACATACATAAATACATAAAACAGATAAACTGTCATTAAAATCAGCCCCGCACCAGACAAACCGGTTCCGGTTCTCCTTAAGCACCAGAACCAGCCTGATCTGGAGCCCGGTGCGCAGCCGGGCCGCAGGAGGAGCAGGCTGCTGCAGGTCTGCCTACTAATTCGGCCCAAATGAAGAGTAATTGTGAGGATTAAAATCCAGCAGAACAAGTGGCGCTCCTCCGCCCGTTTGTGGCCGAAAGCGTCGCTCCGTTAATTTGCGGATCCGGTGTTTGCGTCACATTTCCAATCAGACAGCTAATGTGGACGAGCCTTAACGCAGCGGGATCCGAGCGGGAATGTCATCAGGCAATTAGGACGGGTTAGAGCGGAAGTAGTCCTGTTGGACTGGAGGAACGGGTCCATTACAGCAGACGGCCCGGTTCCGCTAAACGCTTAATGCGCAGTTATTTATTTATGACGGGAAACAAACGATTTTCTTTTTTCATGCACTGGTATCAGAACCCGGACCTGCAGGCCCGGTCCGGATCATGGTTCTGGTTCTAGTTTTGGCCCTGAGCTTGGTTCTGGTTCTGGTCCCGGTCCTGATCCTGGTTCTGATCCTAATCTTGACCCTGGTTCTGGTTCTGATCCTGGTCCACGTCCGGATCATAGTTCTGGCCCTGATTTTGGTTCTAGTCCTAATCCTGACCCATGGTTCCTTGTCCTGGTGCCGGTCATAGTCGTGGTCCTGGTCGTGGTCATGATACTGATCCTGATCTTGGTTGTGATACTGGTTCTGGTCCTAATCCTGATCTTGACCCAAGTTCTGACTCTGGTCCTGCGCTTGACCCTGACCCTGGTTCTGGTCCTAATCCTGATCCTGACCCAGGTTCTGGTCCCGGCCCGTTAGAAAACCACCGTAACAAATGTTGATTAAGTCTCCTGACAGATCTGCAGCTAAGCAGCTTTCTGAGGCTTTTTCATCAAGTGAAACCTGGAGCCGCTCAGCTGCGTCACTTCCTGAGAGCAGATAGATCAGCTGTTTGTGGATTTCTGACCCGAAGTGAAGGATTCACAGAAAAGATGCAGAAGACGAAGAGTGAGATATAATATTGAATGTTTAAAGATATAATAATAAATGTTTATCATGATCATGAGAGATCATGTTGGGCACTTTTAGGTCATAAAAATGTATTTTAATTTATTAATTTATTTGTTTATTTTTACGGACGTCACACACAGTTTCTTATAGACAACAAAGACAGTGGCGCGAGTTACCAGAATCTTTCTCTGTGCAGAATTAAACAGAGGATGAGTCGGGCAGGTCATGCTAGGGAAAATGGTCAAATTGGTCCTGAGTATGTGCAGGTCCTTCTCAAAAAAATAGCATATTGTGATAAAGTTCATTATTTTCTGTAATGTACTGATAAACATAAACTTTAGATTCATCACACACAACTGAAGTAGTTCAAGCCTTTTATTGTTTCTAATATGGATGATTTTGGCATACAGCTCCAAAAAGAACAAGAAAAGGCAGCGTCCTCCAGAGGTCTTTGACCATGCAGGGCATGCTGGGAGCACCATGAAAGGCTGGAGACAGGAGAGAAGCAGAGAATGGTCCCGATATGAGAGCTCAGTAATGTGTCGGCGTGACGACTGAGTGCACAGGGGTCAATATAGACAATGTGAGGAGGACAAAGAGACCGAAGCTCCTGAGAGACATTACTGTGATGCTGAGGGGATTGTTGGCTACGAGGAGACTAAAAGTGGTTTTCCACCACCTGACAGGGTCACTACAGAACAGACTTCAGGTCAGGATGCCCGGTCTCTCAGGTGCCCCACAGGGAGAGTAGTGAGATTGTTCCAACTTCTGATGAACAAGACCCACTTTACTTTTGTTTCATGGCCGTACCCCTCTCAGTAAGCCTCCACAGGTGGGCTTGGCTTGCCCCTTCACCAGGTGTGTGACGATAATCCCATCTTCCCTCTCTACCCACCGTTAAAGAAACAAAGAGAAACTGGTAAAGTCAGAGGGTCTCAGCTGCCCTGGTGGAGCCCTGCAGTCACAAAGCTGTTTAACCAGAGACAACATCAGCTCCGTTGTAGTGGGTCCCAAGGCTCATGTTGTTGCTTCCACTATGGAATTCTGGTTAAGGAGAACATCACAGCCGCTGCCTAACTAGATCACCAGGCTGGGTCAGCAGCACTCCATCCCAACTGTTAGCAAAACCCCTCCCACCCTGCGTGAAGTACCTGATGGTTTGGTAAAAGGCTTGTATTCATGTAGCATCTTCTAGAGTCCTAGAGCCCCCCAAGGTACTTTACAACACAATAGTCATACACCCACACACGCACATCTTCACACACTAGCTGCGATGTATAGCCACTGTGGAGCATGGTTTCAGAACTCATGCCCCCCCGCCCGGGGACGGACTGGGACGATAATCCAGCCCTGGAACATCTCCCTAACTGGAAACACCTTCTCATGCTTGGGAGCACTGGCACGTTCCCTCACCACCTGAGCCAGCTCACCTTCAGGTGGTGACCAGTAGGGTATAGGATTCTGTCTTTATCATAGCGTGGGTCTTACAAGCGCAGATCTGATCGTTCAGTTGTAAAATTGATCGTGAACACATTTACTGGTTCCATGCGCATCCGGAACCCACAGGTTGTTTCTTACAGACAAACCATGACTTCCTCAGAGCTCATGGTCACGTGTGGAACGTCAGCCGAACTACCACAGGCAACAATTTTCTAAAGTAAACACGTGAAAAACACACGATCGCACCACATTACCACCACAGGCCGACTACTTACGAATGACTAAAGACTCCCCGATGCCGCATCAGCTTTGCGACAAAGTGGCGCCACTGTTTTTTGAAACAGGCTCTCTTATCCCCCCAACGAGCCTGGGTTCCTCCCCCACCAGTAAAGGGACAATCCCTGTTTTTAGTGTCAAAAACTGAGGACTGGAACTTCAAGGCCCCAGCCTGATGCGCCATGAGGAATGCTCTGGTCTGCAGCATCTCCAGAAGGTGGTTGGTCCCGCGTATCTCCTGCTTTAAAAAGAATGCTACCTGAAAATATTAAACATGACCTATAAATGTAAATGTCCTTTCTTTGGATGACGCTGTAAACACTCGGAGTGGAAGAGTGTCAGCAATGGGAGGCTTTGAAGGACATCCAGGCAGGTGTTTGGAGGAGTTCACTGCAGTGCAGATCCTTTTGCAATCCTCTGACATGATGTTTTCACCATTCAGACCATCATCTGGCTGTATTTTCATCTGTTGTGCTCCCCCTCCCCAGCTTTGCCACACATACACACACCAAACCTGAAAGATGAAAGGAGAAGAGTAGCTCTATTACCTGCATTACAGCAAGTTGCTCAGACCAATTGACAACAACAAAATGCCCCAGAAAAAGCTTTTTTTTTTCTTGAGATTTGAGTGCTGCACTTACATCTAACTTCATTTTTATAGACCACAACCTATTTTCCTCCAGCTGGAGTGTGGCAGCCAGGAAGGCATTTGATATCCTCCCATGGATCATCAAAGTGGACAATATGTCACAGTGACAGAATAAAAAATTCATGTTTTCTTAAATCCATCCAGCTTTTCAGAGAACAACTTTGTTGTGGAAAGTCTCAATTTAAGTCATATGAAGGGAGAGTAATGTGACAGGAGTAATTACAGCAGTGTGTGTCTGCCATTGCTGTGTCGTTACAACGGTTCGAGCACATCTGAAATCCTCCCAGTTTCGTCATCTCACCCACTCCTCCTGCATTTTCCTAAACTTTTTGGTCTTTTCCTTCTTGGAGGATTAAGGATTTACTTTTGTACAACCCAACACCAATGTTGCCTTTACATCATTGTGCTAACTACATGTTAAACTCTTTATTAAGGATGCTATTACATGTTTATAGTATACTGACGGCTGCTATCTTTAATTGTATTTCACATTAAGGCAACATTAAAGAGTTTTGAACAATTTAAACTATTGCTTTCAAACTGGTTTCAGTGATTTTTGAGCCAGAAGCTCCTGCATCTTGACACTGGACATCACTCCGTAGCTCTCTGCTGACCAGAAACTGCGCTTAACAGTGAAGCCTGGAAGTAAAAGTAAGAGAGAAATGTCTTCGGCGGCGAAGCAAAGAGCTAAAGCCAGAGTGAATATTGGCGCGGCCTACAGGGCGCTAAGGGAGGCTACGACATCATGCAGGCTTTGCTGCTACTGGACTTGTTACTAATAATATTGTCTTTTCCAACGATGTGGATCTTTTTACTTATTGGTTAGTCTGGCAAGTCAAACTAAATTAATGTATTATTAAGTCTGGCAATGCTCCATTGATGGTTCTGTGGAGTGGGGCGGGTTCTACCGCTGTCTTTCAAACGATCTCCACATGCTACGACGTGACATACTCACCACAACAAAATGTCGGTAAACGAGGCGGTCTGCCGTTGAAGAAGGCAAAATACATCCTTTTTTCTAAATAAAGGACTTAAATACATCTATCTGCTCCTGGTTCTAATAAAGCCCAAGTCCTATTTATTTATTTATTTGTTTGTTTATACATTTATTTATTTATACATTTATTTATTTATTTATTTATACATTTATTTATTTATTGTTTTTGTGAAACGCCTCGTGATTTTTATCCTGAGAGGCACTATATGAGATCTTCTTCTTCTTCTTCTTCTTCTTCTTCTTCTTCTTCTTC